TAAGAATCAATTTCTATCTCACTGAGCTAATTAGTCAGTGACAATTCATGTGTAGCTTCACAAACTGACTAAGCCAGACGTGCAGGTTTAGCAGCCGTCCATGCATGGAAAAGCAGATTTCAAACCACTGTAAAAAAAATTCAGTTATCGAAACAAAAATCTGAAAATACACATATTGCATCTAGACAGCATGGAGATGTTGGTAATTTGTTTGTAACAATGATTGATTTGCTCCGTGAGTGAAATACTGATGTTTAAAATTGCCATTTTTACATTGACTCCAATTGTTCACATCAGAGCAAAATTCAAAATGCTGTCAAAAATTCAGTTTTTGAGATAAAATTCTGAAATTTGCCACACATCATCTACCATGACTCTAGAATTTTGTCATTTTTTCATGAACACTGAAGATTTATTTAGCAAGAATTTGCATGTATATGTTTACAGTACCGTTTACAGTCAAACATTTTGATGCACTGTGGGCTCAATTTTTGATAAATCAAAAATCTGAGAAACAGTTTTTGTAGGACAGTCTGAAGATGCTCTGTAGCAAGTTTGGTGTCAATTGAGCAAAAATTGTGGGAGGAGATAGGTTTAAGAAGTTTTACAGTTTTTGAAAAAAACAGAGTGATGAACTTCATAATTTTTAATAGGTTTAAATGTACAAAAGTTTCTTCAGTATTGGGGCTACAGTTTGATGAAAGTTGTGAAGTTGTAGCATGTATGGTTGATTTGTTATGAATTTTCAAAGTTTTGAACTTTAGACGCTTGCTGTAGCGCCACCATCAGGACTATTGGCTTGAGTTTACAGCTGAGGATATCTGGCATGAGACTGGACCTTTGTGCAAAATTTGGTGAGTTTTCACCCATGGGAAGTATGATTTCCTCAGAAGAAGAAAGAAGAAAGAAGAAGACGAATACCTAGGATTACAATAGTGTCCTGGCAGCTTAGCTGCTCAGACCCTAAAGACACTTTAATGTTTCTTTATATGCAACTTATTTTGGATTTTTTTTAAATATAGATTTCAGATATCTTGGGGGTTGATATATTTTTGAGGAAGTTGTCATTGTGTTAATTGTTTGTCACCATGGGCAGTCAGGGTAGTTATCAACCACAAGTGTCATGTATATATACACTGTACAGGCAGGCAAGGTGACCACATTTAATATTTAACCTGACTTAACAGGGATCTAAATGTTGTCCATTTAAATTCCTCTATGGTTTGGAGTCATTGGGCAGGTGTAACCTTTACCATCAACAATTCTGACAATCTTTAATCGGTTTTGTGAAAATTTTATATGGAATATTTTTGCATTTTTGGCGGCTGTTGGTACGATAAAACAAGCTTTTCTCCGTATAGCCTAGCCCTCATTGGAGCACTGGGACACCTTATAGAAATAAATTGATTAATCATAAAAGTAGTTTGACCGAAAACAAAACTAAATGTTGCTCAGAGTTGCAGCACAAGATTTTTTTTTAGATTTTTTGCAGTCAAACCGCTGTTTCCGAGGTCAAGAATGAATTTTACGCTCCAAAAAATAACAGATAAATAATGTTTGGGAATAAGTGTTACTCTCAGCCCTGCTGCCCCACGTGCTGTAGAGGAGCGCTGATTCAATGTACATAACACATGCACTTCATGCCACCAGAGTTGTTTCCATACCTAGAAGCCCTTCATTAGTATGCTGCTGAGGATTTCTCATTCCATGTAGGCTGCTAGTCCTGCTTGTCTCTTATTTTGGCTTAAGATATTTCTCCAGCTCCCAGTGTCTGCTGCTGACTGCATGAGGCCTGTCACATGGGCAGAGATATGCTCCTTGCGGGATAAGAGCTCTGCGAATGGCCCAAACTTATCAAAGCAGCCCGCCCTCTCCCCGAGCTTCCAACACAATGCTCCCCTAATTTCTCCTGAATGGAAGTCTCTCCAGACCTGGAGTAATCTCATATTCGCCGTTTGCACGCAGTAACTCTAGTTACTCTAGCTCTGTTCCCTGCATCCCCTGCCAATTGCATAATCAAGTCCAGAACTCATCAGCAAGATGGCAGAAGAAGTGCTCTATTAAGCTGCATCGTGTTCCATCTGTTGTGTAAGAGAGAGATAACAGTATTTACAGTTTTGGAGTTGTGGCAGACTGTTTCAGCCAAATTTTGTGCACCGCAGAGTTCTGCTTACTTCATAAAATGTCACGGATTAATTCTGCCACTTGCGACGGTGTCCAACTGCAATCTTTGCCCCCACCAGAAATATCACAAACTAACTTTATTGGAAGCGTTATATCAAGAACTTGTATGAGGTATTTGAATGTAAAACACATGGGGAGCATTTACTCTCAAATCCCTTTTTCTCCTTCTTGGCTTGTCCTGCCTCCTGTTCAACGTATTCCATCATCTTTATTCCATTCAGGGGAATGACCAATATTTGCGACACCTCTACAGAGCACCTGCAGTGTGGATAAAGGACTTTAAAAAGGAGACTCTGGCAAGGAAGTGGTTAGTAAGCGCCTTTCAACTTGGCATTAAGAATTCAGAGCTCCGGTCTTTCTATCAGTGAGGGGAATATGTGTTCTTAGACAAAAAAAAAAAAAAAAAAAAAAAGACTAACCCAGATTTGAGTAACGAAACCAGCTGATAACAAAAAGTGCTGAGTGAAACGCAGCCTTATCTTCCCCGCACACTGGAGTGAATTCACCTTACTGTACATGAATCAGCTCGCTGCGAGATGCATTAACCTAAAACTGTTCTTTCAAACACGACTCGAATCTGCAACTGATACTGCCGAGGCCAGTACATCCATTACTCCAACATACACTGAGTGAGGAGACGACAGCGATTCTGATGGAGATTTTCTTTTTACACGTCCCTGCATTAAAAGGTGATCGCATACTGTAGGAAGATTAAAATTGGAATCTTTATTCTCTGCCACATTTTTTAGAAGCAGCACATCACAATTATTTTATTAGCAGGCCATGTCAGGACACAGCAGGAGCGCCAAACTCTTTCATGTCAGAAACTTAATTTGACCAAAACCCAAACTAACGTGATTAAATATCAGAGAGGACGATTTTTGTCTTGGTCATAATTTGAGAACTTCAAGATGTAATGATTCAGCTAATTTGATTCACTCAATTAGTCGATCAACAGAATATTCATCAGCAACTATTTTCATAATCAATTTCGAGCCACTTTTCAAGCAAATAATTTCTAGTGCAGGTTTAAAAACTGTGAGGATTTGCTTCTTTTCTCTTGTTCTGTTACTCTGAACTGAATATCCTCTGCTTTTGAAGTGTTGGCTGGATAAAACCAGCAGGCTGGGGACGTCACATTGGGCTTTAGGAAGTGGTGAGGGACATTTTTCATTATTTTTTGACTTCACTGTTTATCAAATAATTGAGGAATAGTCACAGGGTGTCTACAAACGTCAGCCATTAAAATTTAAAGCTTTTAAGAAGTGCTTTTCAAGACCATTTTTACCGAATTTAAGACTTCATTTTTAGACAAATTGTGTTTTTCTTACAAGTATTCAAACACTGCAGGTGGAGGTAAAGAGTTGTCACATGCAGAGGTAGGTTTTATGTTGGAGTATGGTTATTAGAGTGAGTTAGCTTGGTCTAGTGTAAGCCAACAGATAAGTGCAAGTGTAAAGTAAATACTGTTAAGGATTGGTTACATCAGAAATGTGGACTTTCACACAGAAGAGCTCGCTCGTTTTGTCAAAAATAAATTATAAAATGGTTAAATGACATCAGAAACTGGCACAAAGTCAAATTTAAGACTATTTCATGACTTATAAGGGTTTATATTTATATTTTTAAGACATATTAAGAGTTGTTAAGGACCTGCAGACAACCTGAATCTGCAGATTGATCAATAATGAAAATGAAGTAACTCTATATTTATGCAGACGCTTTCGAAGGTGTCAGAATACTGAGAGAAGTCATTCCGTTAAATGAGACCACATTAAATTTAAATCGCGCCTCACTTTGCAGGGGCCCCTCTGAGTTTTGGAGACACCAGCTAGAAGGGGCCACGGCTGTCTGAGTACAAACAGCTCGGTGCAGGAGCTGCATCTGGAGGGTTCAATAGAATTAGTTACAGTGCAGCAGGAGCGTTCACAGACTGCTGCTCCTTGTCTGTTACCTTTAAAGCCAACAACAGTCTGCTAGACTCTAGACAAAGCCCATGAGTGGTACTTGAAGGATGCACTTGGATGCTATAACAGTGCACTTCCCACACGGGGAGCTTCCACGGGTCTGCGTCTGAGGGAAAAAAAAAAGGTGCAAAGAAAATTTCCGGCAGCTTCAAAGCAGAGAGCTGTGCAACGGATTAATTAAAGCGTCTGCGAGTTCTGCTGCTGCTGCTCCATCCCTTCAACACTCCATTTCGGTCACGTCCACTTCTTCAAAGGAGGAAACACATGTACATTTGAATAAGAGTGGGATTATTCCAGCACATGCACCACAGATTACACATGTCTGCATGGGATGGAAGGCTGCAGCCTGCAAACTGCACGGCAGGTGCATCCCAAAACTTTTGCACATAATTGCAAAAAAAATAGGTGCATTTCTCTGCGCAAATATTTATTTTGCTAGCTCTGTGTTGGATCCAAACAAGCATCAAAATCCTTATTTAGAAGTGAGGTATTATTAATTTATGATCCCATGCTCCAAACTTCAGCTGATATAAAGTTTGTTAACCTCTGAGCTCCATAATGAAGCAGGTGAGGTTTCCTTTCTTTCACAGATTTCTCCACCACTGCTGCACGTTTGCGGCACAACAACTTGGCACAAACAGCCACGCTGCTGAAAGGACCTCGCTGTGTGACCTAACAGGAAATTGTAAGTAGACCCACAAAGCTCTTATTTATAACTTGCAGTAGGCGGGCTGCTCTATGTCTCCTGCAGCCCAGCACCGAGCGTTAAACCTGCACCGTGTGCTGCAGACTCAAAGTGTTTTCACGCAGCTAAAGTGTTTACTTCAGTATTTAATCACGGACATTTACCTTGATCCAGTAGCCGCAGGGAGTGCTGAAAAGACGGATCCAGCGTGTCCTTCTCCGCCATAAGCTCCGGTAAGTACTTTTCGGTCTCCATCTCGCCCCGGTGCTCCGAGTGAAACGACTCAAATGGGATTCAAGTGAATAAAAAAACTTGCTCAGCGTCCACACGGCTCCAAGTTAGGGCCAAGCCAAATATTTCTGTGCAGCAAACACGATAATATCACTCGCGCCTCGCGCTACAGGAGCATGTCTCAGTCCTCGCGGCACACACGCGCGCGCACAGTGAGCGGTTAGATGTGAGCACCGGGAGGTTTTATCCCATCCGAGTGTTGTTGAGCCAGCAGAGCCCCGCTACGCATCACAGCCGGTGTGTGAGCTTCCCTCTCCTCTCTGTGCGGACAGCCAGGCTCTCTGAGGCTCTCTCTGTTGGATCCAGTGCTCAACTGAAGCAGCCGCAGCTATTGGTCGCCGCGCGCGACACGCAGCCGGCGGAAGGGGCGGGGCGACGCGCGGGAGCTGTCCGCGGTGCTGAGTCCCCAAAATTAGCATCTCATTATCATAAAGTTAACCATGAACAAGGGCGGCAATTGAGAAACACTGAGCCAGGGCAGAGAGCCTGCATCTGATATCAGCCTCCATCACAGACTGGCATGGTGATAACACACACACACACACACACACACACACAGCTGCTCTCACTGGAGCTGGGGTGACTCTTTAAAATGCACAATACAGTAAGACAACTGACTGATCTCATGCACATCATCCACACCTGCTCATAAGAATACAGTCAATAAGAAACTGATCCAGTGACCAATCACAGCCCAGATGTGACAGTGAGACAGATTTAGATTTTCTGGTGTAGCCTGCTCTATGCAAGGGTGAGATTTCGTGCCAGCATGGTGGGACAACACACACATGAAACAAGACGATTTAGGGTCCTCCACCAGAAAACTGCAGCAGGTGGCCGGGGCATGGAATCAAACACGTGGCCACTGCTGCACGAACACAGCCTTTGTACACTGGGCGCCTGCTCCACCAGGTGAACTAGTGGGCACCTCAATACTCACTACATATTAAGAACATTTTGAGCATCAAACACTTGAATTTTTACCCACCAATGTCTGCATCAATTCATGGTGTCAGTGTCTCTAATTTTGTCAAAATAAAAGCCCTCTGATACGTTTATGTTTTTATTAGAGGTGGGACAAATGTACATGTTCTAAATATTGAGGGGGACGTGTCCCCTGCATCCTCCTCGGAATCTACACCTAGAATTTGTATTGACATCGACTGCATTGACACTGGCCCCCTGGAGCCACGTATGGATTACTGGACCAACCTATCAGGCACAGGCCCAGAGGCTCAAAGTGTCAGGGCCCTAGAGTCACCTGCAAAATGTCCCTCCAATTAACACATGTTGACCCCAAAGAGAAACAAAAGGACAAAAAAAACACAAATGTATCTCAGAGAAACACAAACTTCAAACAAAACAAATGCAAAGACATGCAAAGGAACTACGACGAGACACAAAATTACTTCAAGGAGAAAGAAATGACTACAAACGGATGCAAAGGAACTACAAAGAGACACAAAATAACCAAAAACTAAATCAAATATTCCTCAAAGACACACAAAATGACCAAAATAAGAAACAAATACACCCCAAAGACTCAAAAAATGACCACAAAGAGACACAAATTGACCTTACAGAGACAAAAAACAACCTTAAAGAAATGCAAAACAACCAGAAAGACATACAAAAGGACCATGAAGAGACATAAAAGGACAAATAATATCTCAAAGAGACACAAATTGATCTTTAAAGACACACAAAACTAGTACAAAGACATGCAAAGGAACTACAAAGAGACATAAATCGACTGCAAACAGACACAAACATATCTCAGAGACCTGCAAAATGACCTCAAAGAAAAACAAAACCACAAAGAGACACCAAACAAACAAAACAAGAGCATCAGGGGCCCATTATCTCATAATCCACACACGCCTGGATCTCTGTGGCCCCGGGTCAGTCGCCCCAAAATGTCAGTGCATCTAAACAGAGGTGAGTTGACCTGTCGTATTTCACATCAGTCGGTACAGTTGCTGGAACATCTCAGGAGGCAACATAATTGCCTCTTTACTCATTTAAGCCATTGATTAGGACCACATGACTCCTTAGGTTGCTTTTACTTGTTAGGACAACCTGTCAATAGTTCTCAGGAAATCCATTCACCTTCTCATAGGTCAAGCATGCGTTCCTCCCAGGCGTGTTTATGAATTCATTAATTAAGAAAAGCCTGTTGTTAAGAAAACACAGGCGCAACAACAAGACAAAAAAAGAGAGAGTCGACCCTGGCGAGTCTCCAGCATTCTCGGAGAGAACAAACACTGACACTGGTGTCATTAAGAGACAGATATATGCTTTATCCAGACAGCAGATATCTGCAGATACAGACACAAATCCACTTTATCAGACATCGTGAGCCTTACAGTTCCTGGAAACACACAATGAATGCAAAAGTGCCTTTGTGAGGAATTTAGGGTGTTTAACGGCCGGGGAAACAGGATTTGTATACAGGCTTGATATTTGTTAGAAAATGTGGAAAAAAGATAAGAATTCTGTCAATATTTGTGGAGGATGCTGAGGTAGCCTCAGGTGGGCGGCTATCTGTAGGCTGATCAGCACTGGTTATATAATTGAGATTTTTTTTTTTTCCTCCATTCTATTTCAATAACTTGGAGAAAATGTGACCTAGAGGCTAAAACCAAGATGGGTTTATGTATATTTATCAGCGCTATATCCTCCACGAACTTTGGAAAGTGCTATTGCTTATTTTGCTTTTGTGGCTTGATTTGTGCTCAGGAATAATTGCTCCAGGCATAATAACCAAATATAACCATATATATGTATATATATGTGTATATATACATATACATATACATATATATATATATATATATATATACACACATACACATATACATATATACACATGGTAATATATGAAATACAGAGACACAAAGATAAACACAATGAATACAAAGACATGCAAAGAAATTACAAAGAGACATATAATGCCCAAAAATGAAACAAAATTACCTCAAAGAGACACAAATGGACCAAAAAGAAACACAAATGACTTTAAAAAGACACAAAATTACCAAAAAGAAACACAAAATGACCTAATAAAGACACAAAATCACATTATAAAGCCACAGAAGGACCAAAAGACACACAAAATTACATTATAAAGACACAAATGGACCAAAATAGACACAAAATGACATGATAGAGACACAAAATGGACCAAAATAGACACTAAATGACATGATAGAGACACAAAATGACCAAAATAGACACAGAATGACATAATAAAGCCACAAAAGGATCACAGAGAGACACAAAAGGACCAAAAGAGACACAAAATGACATGATAGAGACACAAAATGACCAAAAAGAGACACAAAATGACCAAAAACAGACACAAAGCGCCCTTATAAAGATACAAAATGACCAAAAGACACACAAAATTACATTATAAAGACACAAAAGGACCAAAAACAGACACAAAATGACCAAAAACAGACACAAAATTACATTATAAAGACATAAAAGGACCAAAAACAGACACAAAATGACCAAAAAGATACACAAAATTACATTATAAAGACATAAAAGGACCAAAAAGACAAAATGACCTGATAAAGACACAAAAGGACCAAAAACAGACACAAAATTACATTATAAAGACACAAAAGGACCAAAAAACAAAACTATATCTCAAAGAGACACAAATGTATCTTTAAATAGACACAGAACGACAATAAAGACATGCAAAGGCACTACAGAGACACAAAACTACCATTTTATATATAAATATCACACCACAATATGAAAACACTATAATGTCTGAAATATGCACCATGTGCTTGTTGATGTCTGCAGGTTGAAAGGTCTTCAAAATGGAGCGAGTGTGTTATCCGTTACAGTTACACAGTACTTAATAATAACTGATACATCATGAGTGATGCACCTGGACACACTGTGAGGTGCACCAAGCTGCAGCCATGCAGACACGACATGTGTCACATTCAGACATCCTGTCTAGAGATTTTTATTTTTTTCCACAGATTCTTCCCAGACTCTTGTTTATGAGTGATTCACCGCAAAGAGAAACGCATTATGAATCAGCTTACTTTTTAATCTCTCCCAGAGACCATTAAAAACCGGCTCAAATGCACTAATCTCCTATTCAAAAGAGCGACTTATTTATAGATATGCCTGCCATCTGTTGCGCCCCGTCTCCATAAACAAAGCCTCGCATTGTCATTGATGTTTGAATCAAAGTTGCGGGCCTATATGTCTCCTTCAAGACGTTTGTTTTCAGAGGGAAATCGCTAAGTGATCGCAATACATCAATTGCAATGAAAATAATCATGGTTTATGGGGCAACATTTTTATATAAGTCACAGCCGACCACAAGGGCAGCAGCGTCGGTGTAAACAAAGCTGTGAGGAATGTTCTGTCAGGTGGGTGTAAAGGATGAAGAACAGTGGGCTATTACATTGACAAAGTGTTATTTTGATCATTAGAGAATGGCTGCCCCCTTTCCTCGCCCCTCGGCCTGTCCCGACCCACTAAATATGATGTTGCCTCCACCCAGAGCCAGACAGCCTGTGCAGCGCCCCAGGGTGTCATATGTGGTATATTCACCCATACTATTATGTCTGCACACTTCTGCATTCACAATCAATACTCCTCGCTCTCCTAACAAGACGCAGGGATCTAATCAGACCTGCAGCCTTCGTCCCGGCAGCTTGATGTAAATCCCAACTGATTTAAATGGAAACACTTGTCAGCTTTCAGTCTTCATAAAATCCCATCTCAGCGAGAGGATGTCATGTGGGTCTTGTCACCTTAGGAGCAATTAGACCTTCATGTGTCCACAAGCTGATTGCCGTGTCACTTTGTGTCACACAGAGAACATGAACCGGGATTCCAGAGCGAGTCTCCACTTTGTCTTGGCCCCGTTAAATGGACACTGAAATTACAGTGGCAAATCAGGAGCATTTCAAACACCTTGAATAAGTGGATTCCTTCCATCACCACATTTCTGTGGTGGCAGAGGGATTGCTAGGAGAGTGGCAACACTGCCTCCTTGTGACCATGTCATATTATTCAAGAAGACATAAGGAGTTCATGTGAGATAATCAGGCTGGTTTGGAGCTTTTTCATAAGAAGGATCTTACTGGACAAAATGCTGCAGCTGGAAAGTTAGTGACTTGTTTATTCTCTTAAAGTTTTGCTGTAAATGGGGCAGTTTGTGTGCAGCTCCGTTGGTTAATGCGATCCAAATGTCGCATGTTTTAATTCAAAATCAGAGGTATTTGTTAAAAGCAGTTTTAATGGGTCACCACAAAATG